TCTCTCTCTCTCTCTCTCTTTGCCTTCACTTTCTGCTGGATCTCAGTCAAGGGAGGAGGAGGTGGATGAGAAGAGTCACCTCTTCTTGCTTCACTTCCTCAGCCTTTGGCTGAGCTTCAGCACCTTTGTCAGACATTCTTCCAGTCAGCACAATAATTAGTCTGACAAACCAATAGAGTCGGTAGCGATTTTTTGTTTCCCTGTAGTACAACAGAAATCGCTTCCTCTGACACAGTGTTAGTGTGGGTGAATGGGCAACAAGCGGCAGGGGTTAGAAGCCTTCTCTAGAGGCCAGGCATTAGTTAGACATAGTCCAGGAAAATCAATCACTCGATTTCCTTTTCACTGACCCTGGACCATTCTGGACAATTCCAGTCATTCCAGAGAGATCACTAGAATTCCAGTGCCCAATATAGTACAGCAGCAGCCAGTAGAAGAGATAGAATAGCTGAATACAGATAATTATGGACCAATGAGATTTCACGAATCACTGAATTGCCCTCCACTCAGACTCAGACTCAGTTTCGAACATTGATGACTCTGGCAGCCACACCCAGGGGTATGGCGATTTACAGTTTTCACTAAAATACGGGCTAGCGATTGCACACAGATGTGAACAACAGAGTTGGGCTTCACAAAGAACTGACAAAATGAAATTCTGACAGACATATTTATTATTATCACTGACCCTAGCTAGCATAGACTGAAGGTAGGTTCAACGCAATATTATAATCTACAGTATCACTACTTTCCAGTACAGAATTCACGATTGGTACATGCAGTATCAAGCGCAATAATGTCAAGCAGTCCCAAATAAAATTTGAGAAGAAAAGAGTCAACAGACTGAAAGTTATGAGAAACTGAGATTGGGGAAGAAGATGGCTATGGTTGTCATGCAGTCAGACAATCTATTTTTAGATCTACACTCACAAATAGTCCATCATTTCTGACTCTGACAATCCTTAACAATTCGCCACACTGAGTTTTGCACGGAACATACTCGCTTCAGAGGAAGACTAACGAAGCAGGTGAAGATCTGGCTATGGCTCACTATCTGCACCACTTCTCGTCATTTTCTTTCAGAGGTTGTTCCTTTGGACTCCATGTACAGAAGCTCTTGAAACTTGTTGATCTTGTAAAGGGGACTGAGGTGCTTCACCCCAGAGTGTCAGAATCATTGAATCTAGTCAGATGGCACTCTGTCTTCCAGACAGAAGTAGAGCGGCACTGACACTCTGATTCGCTGACACGGATACTGGGCCAGAGTAGCCCAATTAAGTGTTTGATTGGCTCCGTAGACCAATCTACTCCAGCGCAATCCACTTAAGTTCTCGCCACTCAGTGCCTCAACACCCTCTGATGAATTTCGCCACTCCGAGCAAAATCTCAATTTTGTCACCCCTTCAGGGTTTGGCGAAATTCCCTGTACTCGCCACTCATGAGTCAGGCGCTCTCCTGAAATAGCAACACCTGATCTGTCGAAGACTGAGCCACAATAATAACCGCCTGAAAGTCTTCTTCTCGCCCGCTTTAACACTGAAAAAGATGAATCGCCATGAGACTTTTCTCCAGAATCTCATAAGAAGAAGAAGATGCCCCAATTGCGCTCAACCCTCAGTTAGTCAGTTTCGATCCTAGCTCTGATACCAACTGTTATGAATTTGGTTGTTTGTCGATTTCAATCAACACTCACACTCATACGATCTCACACATGCCCATACACGCATAAGAAGAAAGGGAGAGGAGACAGAGTACACACTGCACACATACAGAGTAAGCAGTGGAAAGCAATTATGCACAGAATGTGACGACAACACATAGTGTTTCCCTCTCTGACTATACTCCCAACAACCAATCATAAGAAGACACTTTGAGGATCACAACAAAACACAACCAAGTTTGAGCCAAGCCAATATCAACACTGAATGTTATAGAGTTCTCTCCCAATGTTTCACCACCACTGAAACCCGCACTCCACCCCCAACTCCTACACTTTGTTAGTAGCACTATATTGAAACTGCCTCCCAGAGGCCTGCGCCAACTAAAATGATGAAGAAGGAGACCAGCGCTCCAGTTCCTGATGGGCCGCGGGCGTGTCCCGTTAACGCGCCGCATTTGAGGGGGGTCGTTCGCATGAACGGCCGGTCGCCGAGAATTGCGACGTAGAAAAGAAAAAGAACTACTTTCTAATTTGGGTGGGGGTCGTGGTTACGTCTGTTCTTGGTGGAATGCTTCTTACTTAGTATTTTAGGTAGA